ATAATATATACACATATATATATATATCCTTTATGTCTACTGAAAATCGCAAAGTCATGTGGATGTGTCCAGAGTCGGATACGAACGATATTTTCAAATTTATGGGCGGAAAGTCAACAGTCTCGCATCACATTTATAACCATTCACTTTCGTATCGCCATATATGAGTGATTTACATCGGTGCAAATCTAATCTAAGAATTAATCGCGCTTAGCAATTAATCAATATCTCCGAACATGTTTATTATCTGACATGAATAGAATGTTTAATTACTTTTAGAATATGTAATAAAAAGATACTTTTATTTACTGTAACTTTAAACAGTCGGGGAAGATCTCGCGTTTAATTAACTGCGTACATTTTCAGATCTCGCATTTTATGTTAATTATTCAATATGAATATTAAGAAGATATCGTTGATTCTTAATTTAGCGACCGCGCAAGGAAGGAAAGCGATTAAAGCAAATTACCCCGTTTGATCGGTCGCAATTTCCACGTCGCATCGCCCGCAGAATCACCGCAATTATGTTATCTGAATTAAGCGCTCGATATGTATTTACGTCCTTGCATTTACCCCGCGTATTACTGCAACCAGAAGACATTTGTCCTGTTAAGCGGAAGTTTTACCCGTTTAGTTGATCTTCCCGGTCTATCGCGCTGTAAACTTCTCTCGACCGATCCTCCAACGGTGAAAAAAAAAGATTATCGGTCTGTTCGGCGGGTCCGATGTCGCTTTGTCGTTCTTCTCGGCACTTCGGCAAGGATTCACTTCAACGTCGACGTCTTCGTCGACGTGACACTGAGCGTCCGAAGACGTTAAACCGCGGCGCTCGTTACATTCATCCATCCTGGAGACAAGTACGGATATTACGGGGGTCAGTTCGAAATATCTTCCAAACGGCACAGTATTATTATTGCTAGAACATATATTTGTTATACATGTCCTAGTAATAATAATACTGTGCCGTTTATTTTAATTGGATTAATCTTGGACTCTATTTTTTCCTTTTTCAAAAGTTGACTGGAGCTTTAAGTAAAATTTTTTCTTCCGAAAAGAATGTCGTTGCACATCGCGTACTTGATGCTATTTTTGACAGCGGTATTGATAGCGGTTCACTATTCGGCGGCGTTAGTCTGCTTCCTATAACGGCGTGCACTCGTATTTTGGCTTTTCAGATGATAGAAGAATTCGTCGACGATGGTACCTATAAGTTAATCGTTCTACGTGGCAGTGCCGACTACGACTTACAATTAGTCCCCGTAAAAGTTTACTCGGCGATCGAGGAGCTCGACTTTCACTTCTGCTCTACACCTTTTGAGCGATCAAAGTTATGTCAGAGACTATGTAATATCTACCGTGTGATTTCTTTCATGCTGACGCACATAGAGAAAAAAATGATGTTGTATCAACAGTATCAGGGTAATTGGAAATAATCTTGCTAATTTAATAGACAATAAACAGTGATAAATGGCTTGTGAGTCACAACACGTTTCCGCGACAGTTTCAAATGAGGGAAAATAAGTATTAAGAAATTTAAGAACTAAACATATTAAACATGTTGTCGATATTTTCAAATGTATCCAGCTCTGCCAAAGATGAAATGAGAAGGATGGCTGGCTTACGAGTCGTGCGTGGACGATCTTGAATGATTTTTGAAATGTTATTTAAATATTAATATTATTAACAATTTTGAATTTTTTCTAAGTCTATAATAGTGATTATAGTACATAGATGAAGATTTAAGTTATTATACTGTGAATTATTATGTTTGCAGCGTGTTAACACTAAAATAAAAAAAAATTTTAAACATCTTCCTATAGCGAGAAAAAAAAACTTCAGTTTTAGCATTTTTGTTGAAAGTTATTCAATTTTCGTTGACAATCATTCAAAGTATCCAATATAAGAAATCAAATTAAAGAATATATATTAAATTATTTTCTTGCTGAGTGCCACATCCCTTTTGCGAGATATGTACGTTTAAATTTATTGATCTTATGCATCGAGTTGAAATAAGCTAAGATACGTCGATATAACTTGAAATAGTAATGGGTGTATAAGAAGTAGGTGGATAAGTAATGTCAGCTATGGTGAGCTTAACGACAGCGAAGAATTTATTGGTTTGGCCGATTATTCGCCGATAACAATTATAACGTCGCATACCCCCATCTACATAATTTATAATAATGTTGCTGCAATTAATTATATAGATCCTAGGATCCGATAAATTTTTGTATGCGATGATCATCCTTTAGTCACGCGTTCGCATTCTTGAGAGAATCGCAGTACCCTCATTCTTCTCTTTAACCCTCTGGCGGCGATAGCCGCTCTGTGAGCTTTTTCGATAAAAGACTCTTCAATTCATTGTTGTGTTTAGCAGGATCTGGGATTCCGATTTCTTTGTGTCTCTCTACAGTCTCATCTGTTCGTTTTAGTTCACAAGAGGGACAATTTTTCCGAATTAAACGTTAATTATATTTATTGCAACAGTGTCCAACTGGACAAAATTGATATTTATTTTTTACACAGTAGCCGTTAATCTGCATTTTAAGTAAGTTCTTCGTTCTTCCTCGAGCTCCGTTGTGCGTTGCTTCTTTTGCGAACTAGAAATTGGTCGTGATCGAGCGACGACCTTCTAGAAAATAGTCGCCTTGAAAGAAAATTATCTCGCAATTTCTCACGAAATCGATATTAGAACGATTATTTATTAATCCTTAACGATGATTTATAGATCCGTATAGACTCGCGTAAATTGACTTGACAATTCTGTTGGTATATGCACGAAGAACTCGCCGCTGATCTCACACGAGAACGGTACGATCGGCGGGTTTTTCGGTCTGTTGCTGATAGGGCTCAGCAAAGTGATGAACTTCACAGTGGAGATTCTGGATCCGGCGGAGGGATTCGGCAGCTGGAGCAAAGAGAAAATGGTGTGGACAGGTGCGATCGGCCAGTTGGTGGCCAATGAAGCTGATATCGGCATCTCCGGATTCGCGATGACGACTGGCAGACAAAACGTCATCGACTATACTATATCACTGATGCGCTCGCCATACCGCCTTTATTTTAACCCGTAGTGGTCATACCTCCTGAAAATAACGTAGTGGTCACACTGGGTCCAATAGACCCCATGTAGAAAAACAGTTCCTATTTGCAGTTTCTTTTTGATGTATCGATTCAAACCTTGAACTGGAATTTAGTTTAAAACTTCCTCTTTATAATCCACTATTTTTTTCTCCTTTTTAAAATTTTTTTATGTTGAAAAAACGCGAGAAAACTTTTTTTCGAGAAATTTGACTTTTTTCACAAAAATATTCACCAAAATGTCAATTTTTGAGATAAAGCAAAAAAAACTTCCTGCGTTTTACTCTCAAAATAGTATACTTTTAAGAAAAAAATAGCCTGAGGTCCATTGGACCCAGTGTGACCACTACGGGTTAAGGAGCCTAACACAGCCTTGGTGGAATGGTCTTTATCATTGAACTATAACCATACATGGTTATAGTTCAATGGTCTTTATAGTTCAGGGTAATAATTATCTTTAGATCAACAATACTTATACATAAATTAGTATTAGGTGTATTATTAATAGTAGACATGCATTATTTAATCTATTACATATGCCTATGGTAATTATATTGACTACAATTAGAGGGCTAAAAATTACAGTGGTGTAAGTCAAATTTTTTTCAAAATATTTGATTTACACCACTGTAATTTTTATCCCTCTAATTGTACAATGATAAAAGTTTAAAACTGCACAAAGACTTTATAATCATCCTGTTCATTTATAAAATTAAAAATGCAATTACTTAAGATTGTTTAATTACATCTCTGGGAAAAGTGTTAACATTGAACAAAAAACAGTGTTAAGATAATTTATGCTAAAGATTCACGGTAACAAAGTGGAATAAATTGCTGCTTTTCTTCACCGATAAATGTTCCAGGCATTCAGCTCTATAACTTGGATAGCATTATTAATGACAATAATAACAGCTTCTATTCTATTGACTATCATGAAGACAAAGGATACTTTTCGATGAACTTGATGTTCAAAAACTATATTAATGTTTGGCGGATTTATTGTCAGCAAGATTTGTCAGGTAACGTTTACTAGAGACATTCAATATTTGTCTAGCATAATATTTTGATAAGAATATGCATACGAATTTAATTACTGATGTTATATAATTTATCGTCTCTATTTTATACTTTATAATTATATTCTTGAATTTTAATAATATCTCGATGTTTAAAGATATATGTATGATCACATATAGTCTTACTCATAATGTAAATGTAAGAAATGAATAATAAAGATATTCTTGGAATTAAAACGTTTGAAGTTATGATTTATTTCACTTTGTTTTCCTGAATATTCCTAATTATATTGCAATACTTTGTCAATTTTCCAGACTTTTGATTTTCACGTAAGCCGGATTTGAAAGCCCGAATTTTTAGAAATTCGAGAAATGCTTGGAAATGTAAAATATTCTTGACAATTGAGAAAATTCTTGGAAACTGACAAAATTTTTTATATTGATAAAGTTCTTAATCTTGACAAATTCTTTATGTTGATAAAATTCTTAAATTTGATAAATTCTTTATGTTGATAAAATTCTGAAATTTTCTGCAACTGATCATTCGCATTGGTCAATTGTCAAATTGCTTAAATATGATTAGTCAATTTTATTTTTCCATCCGAGATCTCGAAGCAATTTCTAATATCGTTCGAACACAAAGCTTTGGAATGCTTCGCTTGTTTTTCTGCCCTCCTGCCCCCACCTTCTTATAAGCACAAGGACATAAACGCACATTTGTATATAAGGGAACGCTCAACAATTTGACTGCCTGTTCTTTGTCTGTACGTATCGGTTGTGGATTGACTCGCAGTTTTAACGGTCCTGAAACAATTTTGACTTTCGTAGCTTCAGTCGCCGAGAAATTCAAGATTCATCATGTATCGGCTTTTTGTGACGATGACGGTAATCACGGTAATGCCCGTTCTAGACTGGAGGATGAGCCGACTCTCGGCTCATCCGCCTTCTATAGTGTACGTGACATAAACTATACATAACCTATAGATTTTTACCCGTCTACACCACTCACTCGGATGAGCCGAGAGTCGGCTCATCCTCCAGTCTAGAACGGGCATAATCAACTTCGCGTCAATCAACGCGAAGTTGCATAGGTGAGTGTACATGTTATATACAATCAATCCACATTTATATCGACACGATGAATTATAATATCGTATAGAGATCGCGCTTCCAACTACTTGGAATCGCCGCAGAATTCGCGATAAATAATTATCAAATCAATTTCAAATACCATAATTTTATCAAATCTGTAAGAAAAACGCATTTTAAAAGTGGAATAAAGTGAGCAAACTAATTTCAAGAGATGCTTTGAGGATTCCTTCGAAAATCTTATTTTAAGTGAGATTATCGTTTTTTCATGATGACACCAATCTCACTTAAAATACCTAACTACATTCTAATGCGTAAATATATGCAGGTAGCATTTATTTCTTAATGCCAAAATGTCGAGGATTTAATAGTTTTTAAATAAAAAGTGCTTGAAAATAATCAAATAAATTATTAGAAATTCGTATTTATGTTCTACGATATATGTACATATTACATTCGCGTTTATACGATACATATACGCATATAATATAACGGAATTTTTTTTATGTTGCTTCAAGAATTCCGTTATACAGGACTAACACGACATCCTCCGTTGAAAAATCTTCGACGGAGACTATGAGACGACTCCGTTATCCGAATCTGGACGCAATCATACCTCTTATTAATTATCAAGATCTTCAGTACTACGGTACTATCTTTATTGGAACTCCACCGCAAAAGTTTAATGTACTTTTCGATACTGGTTCCTTTGTACTCTGGATACCATCCAAAAACTGCAACGTTAGCCAACTTGCTTGCTGTAAGTATATTATAACATCGCTACCTCCCCGACAATCTATCATTCCTATGTACATTTGTATTAAAAAAATTAATGTTTCAAGTATTAAAATAATCTTAATAACTTTTTTCTCGTTTAATGATTGATGTCAAGTAAAAATATAAGAGAAGAATAATGCTGTAGAATTGTATCTGTTCCATTTATATTTCAAGTAAAGTTATAAAATCTTTAAAGCAACAGCAGTTTCAAAGATTCGAATCAGTGGTAAGGTAAATATTATGTAGCTAAGTTCCATATTTACATACTCTCTTATTTACATTATTTAGCACACTTACTTTAAAGATACAAATAATTTCTTATACAAAACAGCTCACATGTTAAAGCAAAAAATATAAACATAAATATATTTGATGATTTAACTACTGTTAGTTATATATATTTAAATTAATATAGAGAAATTTATATTTCTAGATTCTTCAATATTAACTGATTTAATTTTATTTACTACTTTTTGCAGTGGAACATAATAAATATGATCGTACAAAGTCCACCACAAACGTGGTGCCCGATGCAGGCCCAACTCCATTTGCTATTCCTTACCACAATGGAATGTGGCAAGATGGCATACTGTACGGAAACTCTTCTTATGATGACGTAAGGGTAAGTCATCGTCAAGTAAATAATATATTTAATTCTAATCACAGTCATAATTTATGAAAATTTTCTAAAAAGTACATGTTGCTATTATTCTCCGAAAGAAAAAACGCGCGCAATTATACTTTATTAATAATATCAACGTTTCGTAGTTTCATGAGGATTGGAATGCGGTTCCAACACAAGTATTAGCAGAAGTGTCTAATTTCTCGACAAGTTTTTGGGACTGGTCACAATGCGACGGCGTTGTGGGGCTGGGTTATTCAGACGAGAATCTCTTCCAAAACATGATTGAGCGAGATCTGGTGGACCAACCAATTTTTAGCATCTATTTAAATCGGTATGTATCTTTCCGTATGCCTCACTTGTGCTTAATACTATTTTTTAAATTACATACTTTGTCTTTCCACGCAATGTAAAATGCAAATGTATAAACAATGTAAAAAATATACAACCTATACAGAAATTACCAGAACTCACATTTGGGCGGTGAAGTGCTATTGGGTGGCATTGATGAACATTATTACATACGCCCGATTACGTATGTGGATGTTACCCGCAAAGAATACTGGCAATTCAAAATGGATAAGTATGTAGTTTTTTTTCTAAATTATACATATGTTAACCACGGATTATATGTCAGTTAATTGATAATGCTATCCCACTGTAGGATTCAAGTAAAAAATTACACCTCTTGCTCAGAAGGCTGTCAAGCTATCGTCGACACGGGCGCTCTTATGATAGGTGGACCACCGGGGGCTATCGCAGCTCTCAAGAGAGAGATTGGTGTGGTTAATCATACGGTAATTGATTATCCCTTTCTGCAATGGTAGCTTTCAACTACCTTAAATAAATTATTGAAATAAATTAATAAATGTTTGATAAGTTACGGATTATTAATATGGATTACTAACATTGACCTTCGTTTAAAGGTGAACTGCAATGAGATTTCTAATTTGCCCG